GTTCCTAGTAGTAAGGCCAGGAGCCCCTAGTAGCGTCCTTGCTCCTAGTAGCGATGCCAGGAGCCCCTAGCAACTAGCGTCCGTTTTGGAACTCGGCTCCGAAGGGCTCCTAGAGGCTCGATCTTTGGACCGTCGGAATCGGCCTCCATGGAGAACTTGGCCTCCGCAGGCAAAAGGATGAGCTCTTGCCACGCTCCTCCACTCAGGGGATTCACCTTGGAACAATGTTCGCTACCAGGGGCTCCTGGCCTTACTACTAGGAGCAAGGACGCTACCAGGGGCATCAGGCCGCCAAACTTTCCCTGTTGAGATTTGGCTCAACGGAGCGATGGAGCAAGTCTCTGTGACAGAACGCTAGTGTCCGGGGCCGTCACAGTGCCGAAGGTTCGTGAGGGCTCCTGGCTTAAAACGTCAAATCCTCACATGCTTGCGCTGCAGCTGAAGAAGCCTTTATCCATGGCTTATCCATGAAAAGATATTGATCTTTGGTGAACACTAAAGAAACACGATCGCACACATCCGTACGTCTACATATCCAAATCTATAGCTACCCTGAGCTACCACTAGAAATGCCATTGGCGATTGTAAATGATTGCAACACTCGTCGCGACACTTCTTAACGGGTCGGGCAAGCCCAAGTAACGCCATCCCACCTGGCGGAATGGCGCGTATCGGGGAACTGACAAATCTCTGGCGCGTCCAGGGAAGGTCACATTTGATGCTGCCGCCCGACATGCATACTACCTCTCTCGTCTAAACATGCTCTTCAATGGGGTACACAGGTACACAAACACAAAGCCGCGCCTGTCTACACGCAGCACTTCCGCATAGGGGGCACCGACTTAGTGGCTCCGTCATTCGCAAGTGGCACAGGGAGGCAACTGGTGACAGCTGTCCTACTGCACAGGCGAAAAGACCCACATCGAAAAATCATGTCGTTGGACTGGCCTCACCCAAACAGGTGCCATGCTAGTAGTAACAGGTGCCTTACTAGTAGTAACAAGAAACTAGTAGTAACAGGTGCATCGCTTCTAGTAACAAGTGCCTTACTAGTAGTAACAAGAAGCTAGTAGTAACAGGTGCTCAAAACAAAACGCTCACAAATGGAGCTCCTCAAGGTTCAACATGGTTACAGAGTCGAAGCATTCCAAAGTCAGTTCTGGGGTTCCCTGGCGGAGTGATCCGGAAGCTTGGTAGATCCTCACGCACTGGAAGGCCAAGGGTGCCTGGTCAAGTCTCTAGAAACTTGACAAGGCAATCGCTGTCATGAGCAGGGGCTGCTAGATGCTCTGTCTGTCCAGCATGTTTCGGAACAGCACGTGCTTCATCGTATGCTGCCTTTGTACGGAACGACGAGTGAATGACATCCGCTTCAATCAGGGTCCACAGGGACAGGACAGTATGGAACATTCATTGAGCCGCAAAAGAGCCACTTAGCTAACTCAGGTGTTTAGCAAGGCCCCCGCCTCCAGGAGGACACCGATCCTCAACAAATGAAGCGAGGATGATAGTTTTACATCCTGCACTGCCTCTCTCGGAGCCCCATGCCTTTCACATTCTCTCCCAGTCTCTCGTTCGCTCTTTCACTCTCTCTTTTACTCGGTGGTCAACATGACATGTGGACATGTGACAAACATTGGTAACAAGTGCGTCGCTACTAGTAGCAACTTGTTACTAGTAGTAACGCACTTGTTAGTAGTAGGCGATGCAAGTTGATTGTTCCTAGTAGCTTCTTGTTACTAGTAGTAAGAATGCTGCTAGTAGCGATGCCAGGATCCCTGCTACCCCAGGGGGTGGGGGGGTCGGACCCCCAACAGAAAATGGATTATCCATTTTTTACCCTGATGATGCATTAGCAACGGTCTCGATCCAGTGATATTCAGTGTCGTCCATAGCACCAGCCTGCACTTACCCTACCTGTTTTGCACTTTCTGCATCATATCTTGCATCGTTTGGGTTGTGTTTTTGATCTTTTGGCGTCATCTTTTTGGTCTCTTTTGGGCTGCGTCCTGTTTCTGGTCGAGAACAAAAAAAGCATTGGATAGGGGTCCAGGTATCTGGTATTTCGAGGTGCAAAACAAGCGAGCGTTGGGTTGTATATCTTGTTACATCGAGCGTTAAATCAAAGAAACAGACCTTGATTTACATTGCGTGGACGCGTTGCCTAATACACTGCATGGACGCGTTGCTTACGCCCGCGGGGCGTAAGCGATGCGGACCCTCAGGGAGCTCCTAGTAGCGATGCCAGGAGCCCTTAGTAACGTCCTTGTTGTGTGAGTAGTAAGGGCAGGAGCCCCTAGTAGCGTCCTTGTTCCTAGGGCAGACTTTACGGTGCAAACTTGAAAGCAACCCATTTGGTATGACAGCTCTTGCTCCTCAGGCGCCTGTCAGATCCTTTCAGTACCAAGTGGCCACTCATCAGCATCGCAGCCAACTGCGGTGCAGCCGGCAACCCATGCCTGGATAGGGTCTTTTGGGAGTATGATGGGGAATCGCAATGGAGCAACATCATTTGGGCCTTGTGCGCCCGTATGAATCACCGTGAGCTCCAATTTGGCAACCCATGGCAACCCAATTGAAAAGCCAAAAGGTCTTGGATGAGCAAGAAAAAGCTGACCGTGTTTCCTCCAAGCAATTCGAAGCATCAATCGGTCAGAAAAGGGAACCTTGAAGATCTCAGGCACGGGCACTTTCAGCAGTTGCATCACCATCAAAGGCATTCCTTGGAAACTCGTGCCGTCAACCGGACACGTGCCAACTTGGCTTTAAACATCCCATGACTCCTTTGAAGACTTGTAAAGAACTGTTCCTGCTGGTCTCAGGGATATGATATGCCAGGCTCTGTGAAAGTCCTCGCGAAGAACCTTTATTTTTGTTGGTAGCATTAATTTTGCAGTTCATTCTTCCATTCTTCATCATGTTCATCACTTCCCCCCAAGTGGAGGGCCTGTTCAGTTCAGGAATCTGGACTTCCAGATCCATTTCAGGGATGCAACAAATCTCCCGACAGTCACGGGCTAAGTTCAGATCAAGGGTGGGCGTGAAGGCAGCTGTGAACCTTCCAAGCTGTCACAAAAACCAAGCGACCAAGGCTCATCTACAAGCAGTCATAAGCTACACAAGGGTCACAAAGAAATGAATTCTGCCTACTAGGACGCTGTGTGAAAAAGGTGCATTGGCCAAATTCTCTGAGAGCCAAGCTGGCTAAGGGCATCCCGAAAGCACGCGCTGAGCAGTCGCTCTGCGTGTGAAACCTGTTCAAGGTTTGGCTGCGGTGCCTCCCTAATCTCTGCATGCCATCCCAAATATCGGGACCAATGGCACAATCCTCTATAGAGCGGTTATTTTTGAAGGGGTCGACTGGCATGAAACGCACGTGTCATTCCAACATCCTGACAGAACCTTAGAGGAACCTCTACTGATTCTATCAACCCATCTGAGGAGAGCTAGCATTTGGGGCCGACACAGACAAGTGGCAAGTACCTCTACTTCATCGCGATACAGGGGTCACTTCTTTCTTTAATTGATTATGTCATGTCTTTCCTTTGTTCTTTCCCTCACTTGCTCCGTTCCTCATTGTCAAACAAGGCCAAGTGCTGTCAGGGCACTCAAGCTCTTGAACTCTCCATGGCACTGTCCTGATAGCACCGATCTCATGCGTGCAGGCACGAAATGTTTGATGGAAACTTGCCTTTCAAGTCCAGGATTGGGTCTATCCTATTACCTGTAACAGTGGGTCTCCTAGTAGTAAGGCCGGGAGCCCCTAGTAGCTTCTTGCTCCTAGTAGTAGCGTCCTCTACTATGGACCTCGTATATGCTCCAAAAACTGAGTTCGGTGAAACAAGGAACCACGTTTTTTGGACGCCTTCGCTCTTGCCTACAAGAGACTACTCTTTTTGGTCATTTTCCTATTGCCTGTGCCCCATGGCAGCCTATAATTTCATCTGGTCAGGCCAGGCCAGGCCAGCCTTGTGATCAAAAAACACTGAACATCTTGGAGTGCAGCAGGCGGCATCGGACACCTACACCATGCTACACCCGTACCTTTAAGAACTTCCGGAGAGATTTGTGGGTGAACTGGAAGAGCCTAAAAGCGATGGCCTCCAACCTAGAAACGATGAACTTCTGCATGTCTTGAACTTCCTCTGCAGAATGGACAGTCGTTCCAATGTATACAGTCATACGTAGTAACCTCTAGTCACCTCAAATTGCGAGGCGCGGGGCCTTTCAGCGGGAAAATGAGTAAAAACATGATAGACGAAACAAGTGTTCAAGTTAGGTACATGTTGACGACACGTTCGCTGTGCTATGTGGCTATGCAGATCTGTCTTTCCAGCTTTTGTGCATAGCCTCCTGAAATGGGGGCCTTCTTCGAAAGCACCATTGCCCTTCGGCAGCCGCAGGTAAAATCTCTTCAGCCCTGATCTTTGTCGTCTCTTGCACGCACCGGACCGTCGTCTCTGCATGACGCACTTGTGGCAGCGGCCGATTGTGACTCGGCCATTAACCCTCCAACTGGCAAAACGACCCTCTTGGCCATCTGGTCTTGGATGACACTGGCAACATTAGTGCAGCCTCTGCGCTTGATGCCGGCGGCGCTGCTGCGTGCTTTGGAGGATTCACATGGATTTATGGCGTTCAGGCGCGTCCTTGAAAACCGGGCACGGCACCTTGAGATCAGAACTGTACAGGTGACCATGTTCTGAGGTCGATTTTTGACCAAAGCACCTGATGTCAAGCTCGACCCTCCCCATGACTCTTGGCACGACACCGCTCAGTTTCTTTGGTTCTGTGATATTGTGAGATATGCAAGTGATCAGTGATTTACTACATTTTTCTGAATGACATTTCTTTGGTTTGAGGGGAAGGGCGGGCAACTCCAAACCCAAAAGCAAACAGGCTGGACGCATCTTCTGCAAAGCTTGCCAAATGGCCATGATGACAGATTGGGATAGGTATGGAATAGTAGGGCCAGGAGCCCCTATTTAATAGCTTCTTGTTCCGAGTAACGATGCCAGGAGCCCCTAATAGCGTCCTGACTGGTGCACATTGTGACTGGACAAGCAGGAATTACCACTCAACTTCCGGCCGCGCTGTCATCGATCAGCACGTCTGCCTCGCTCTCCCAAAGGCGGTACTATCTTTGCCCCTCCCTGCAAACTAACTATATACAATTTAATAGAAAACAAGAACCAGAACTAGAACGTTGTTTGTATGGTTTGAGCTCCAGAACCGTTGATTTTTCACGAAGGACTTCTTATCGGTTACCGTTCATCAGGAAGAAACACTGGAAGAAACATACATATCCGAGAAGCGATGAGCCCTTCAGGACAAAAGCTTGGTCAGCATATAAGCAACACACAGCAGGCCAGCAGGAACAAACACAACCGTCGATTGGAATGTGTTCGGCCCAAAAATGTTGAGGTGCAGCACGGTTCAAGAAATACATAATACATCACAATCCTAGCAATCAAGCGTTTGATTATAGCATCTTGCTCCAAAGCCGTAGCGCTGAAGATTTGTTATATCATTTGAGCACTCCAGTCCAGCCTTGACTGTCGGTTCAGGTGGTGGTTGTATGGAGCCTCGCTCTGCTGCGAACATGTGAGACACATTCAAAAACCGCATTTCCTCGCACTAGGTCGGCTCTTCGGCTCACAGGCTGGAGGCGATTGCTTGTAGGTTGGAGGCCATCGCTCTTAGGTTGGAGGCCATTGCTTGTAGGTTGGAGGCCATTGCTCTTCTCTGCTCACATGTCCTTAATCCAAAGTATCTGAAAACCAAGCCTTCAAAACTTATTGCGCATCCGGCGCTATCAGCCTTTGACTTTGCCGTTTCTTTTCAGTTTTTCTCAGCTCTCAGACTCTAGGCTCCATACAGTATGGCGTCGATGAGGCCTGCTCGTTACCCACGCGCTCCAAGCATCGAGTCACTGCAGCCTCCACATGATATCCACACATCGGCATCTCGCAAGTCACTAGTAGTAACAAGTAGTAACAAGTGCATCGCTAGTAGTAACAAGTGCCTTACTAGTAGTAACAATGTTCGCTAGTAGAAACAATAACCTAATAGAAATGCCCTTGTTACTAGTAGGCGATGCAAGTTGATTGTTCCTAGTAGATTCTTGTTACTAGTAGTAAGAATGCTCCTAGTAGCGATGCCAGGAGCCCCTAGTAGCGTCCTTGCTCCTAGTAGCGATGCCTTTGCTCCTAGTAGCGTCCTTGTTCCTAATGGGAGGAAACTAATGTAAAAATTAAGTAGAATGAAGGCACAGGAGACACAATGAGACAAGTCTCAATTGAGGCACACATGTGGAGGCCAAACTGAGCTTCGCGACACTGCCGGACAAGTTTGTGCAAACATGTGGAGATGTACCGTTGGTAGTCTGGTCACCATAGAAACATTGTCGATCTCTCATGATCTCTTCATATTCTGTTATGAACAGCCCTCGCCTCCAGCAGCATCATGATGCGGATCTCATGTGCCTTCTCCCATGCCATTCGCTGACCCTGCAGGATGTAGCGTTCCTTGCAGTCTGGAAGCTAGCATAGCTAGCTAGCATCTAGTGGAATCCAGCAGCTGAAAATGGGATGTGATATCTTGCTTCAAAAACTATCCAACATAATTAACATCAATTAACACAATCCGCCGGCCGCCGGCTTGACAAACTTCCAAAAAACGACTACAACCTGGACGGCTGGTCAGTTTCTTCTCATGCCAGGTGACCATGTCGCGCAGGGAGGGATTTGAGATGGCTGCCTTGACTGAGGCCAAACCCACGTGTGGTGGGTGCACAGTGAGGCCTGACTTGTTCTCCTGGAAGTCTTGTGACAAATGCTTTGTAGCCTCGACAAGTGCGAAGTTCGCGTGAGGCGTTGGCGGAAAATTCGAGTCACTTCAAATCACTTCTGCACCGGACTCGGAAGAGGGTTTTTGATGGTTTTTGGTCTACTAGTAGGAAGGGCATCGCTACTAGGAACAAGAAACTATTTCTCGTCATTTTGATTACTTCTGTTAGCTCTTGGTCACGTGCGTGGGGGAGGTAGACAGGTAGGCGGTAAGAGTAGCTACGAGTAGAGCTGCGAAGATCGCTTTGGAAGTGCACGGCTACTAGCTACTGCTTGTTTTTTAGACCGTGGCCCTGCCTCCTTACTCAACTAAGCAGGCGCCTACTTAATTACGTAAGGAGTAAACACGCTACTAGCCTAGCAAAAGGAAGCTCTTAGTTAGGACGCAGGATAGCTGAGAGTTCCATATTAGCCGTCCCAAACAATTCCAGGGGGGGGGGGTCGACCCCCCCCCCCCCCTTTTGTTTT